CATAGTCTCTTTAAGATGCTGCCCGTTTCAATACGGGCAGCAAAATATAGATTTCTGTTTGTGTTTCTCCCTTGTGATGTGACTTTGTTGGATGAGCGTTGAGATTTATAAGGGCACGGGGTGACTAATAAGGTGTGAATTGGTATGTAATAAGGTAGGGCCCTGGTAAGGGCTTGCCAGGTATGCGTGTAGATTGTGGGAGTTAAATTTGACCATACTTCACTACGCTGGCCAGGGCGGGTTTGCGTAAGGGTATGTCCCGAACCGGTTGAGATATCACCCGCCACTGATTGTTAGCCGTGACCGGGGAATACAAAGTCAAGTCCCTCTGGGTTCTTGGCGCAATGCCGATAACAAGTGCCCCTATGAACACATGTAATAAAAACAATTTTTATTTACGCAATTTGAGTCAGGCCCGTGCACCAAAGACACTCCGTAGCATAACAAAAAAAGTAATTTATAAGTAGATGGTTCTGTTTTATTCTTCCGTATGGCAATATGTTCAGGAGCTAAATGCTAATGTCAAGGTCTTTTAGTCATGAGAGGACTTAAGGAGGGAGTTCAAGTTGTTTAGCTATTCTCCAAGTGGTTTAATATATCGTACATAAGGCGATAGTTTCCAATGGCGATGTTATGCTCCTGATACTGGCTGAGTTTTAAGCGTTAACATTTGACCAGGAGCATCGAGCCTTGGGCAATAACACTGCACCTGATGATTCTTAATGGTTGAAGGTGCCTTAGTCTGGCATTCAGTGTGATATTGACGTGCGCAGATCGTGTCCACTAGGGGCTATGGGGCGCAGCTCCACCTAGCAGCTGGAGATGAGAAATTATTTTTCTAATAAATAAAAATACTTTTCTAAAATGTATTTTATGTTTACATTTTTTAAATAAATATAACGATTCTTTCAACGTGAATTGCCTAATGAATGTAACATTTTAAGTTGCTCGTATTAGACACCGCTGCAACACCGCAGTCTGATTTGTGCCTAGGGGAGGTCTCGGGGCGGCTGTGAAGGCGTCCTCCGAGTGAGAGATTTCCCCTTCGTTCGTTGCGATGAGCTTCTAGCGTTGTAGCCACGCTGTTTGAGACCCATTCAGGGCGGGGAAAACGACGCCCGTGGCTGTAATGAGACGAGGTCACGACGCGAGGTTGCACCGTGCTAATATAGCAGCTCACACGGCTTTTGGCAGTGTCAAGGGGGTTGTGTAGTGTGGACTTAAAAGTCATGGGGACAGCATTTGAGTGCTTTGTTGATTTGTTTCGTACTGTTTATGAATGCCTACCGCTGGTAGACAAGACAGTTAGATCACTTTCACGGGAAGGCCAATATAACACGAAGAGGTTGTTCTTAATTAGATTTTCAGAGGTCACTCACAACAGCCCCACACCCAGTGGAGATGTCACGAGTCGCCACTGGATATTGGGTAATTTACGATGTGCATCTATCGCCTGTGCATATGTGCGGTGACTGCTCATTCGCACATATTCAAATGCAAAATATATGACAATATACTTAAAACAATGAGGATATTTTGTTCGGAGCGGCGAAATCGTCTCGGGTGGCGGAGTGGATTACTGCATCGTAAAATCGTGAGGGATGCGATGGCTTAGGAATGTCTTCAACCATCAGTGGATTGATCATGGCCGATGATGATGATCAACATATTGTCTTTGGCCATATCGCCCGGAATGTACCATATCTCACCAGATCTTGGAAGCTAGGCAGGGTTGAGTGCTCGTATGCGTATCCATTCTTGGGTAACAGTTGCGGCTGTGGTGGGTAGCAGAGTGAGATGCCGTAAAAGACATGATTGTGCTGTGATTCTCTGCTTCTCTGCGTATATGCTCCCTGCCTTCACCATCCCGAGCGTGAAGTGTGGTCAAATAACCCGCACAACCCGCACGGTGTGGCGAGGCCCTCATCCAGCAGTGGATTAACAAAACGACCCTACGTGAACACGTACAATATCTGCCGGAAATTGTGATGTTAACCGAGCTGTGACGTCACAACAGCCTGCATACCATGAACATTCTGGCGACAGACGCAAATCATTAACATGGATGCCATATCCTAAATCCCATGAAGATGTGGATATGCTTTCCTGGAATTCAGAAAAACCCGGAAAAGCCACCACAATAATGCACGCAAGCATTATTGAACAGTACTACTCAATGTCACTTTGTACAAACAAGCATATTGTGGCCATAAGAAGCTCTCATCATTCGGAAAGATGAGAATGTTGACACCATCAAACAACATAATTTTCCAAACACCAAAACCATACACATTTTTTGGGTGTGCACAATGACACGCAGTGGTGTTATTAGAGCTATTGTTGACTTTACGCTCCCTTGAGACTAATTGTACACTGATATCACATTGACTAACCTTGCAATGCTGCGGTTTAAAAAAGTACGTGCCAAATAAAGCATTGTCAGTGAAAAGACAAAAACTTGATCACATGGTAAGAATGAGCAAGGCTACATGGTCTCATGAATCTCAAACAGTATAACACAAATCTATTTGTGAAATATTTGTTTTTATTCCACCAGGTAATGCGGCCCACTGAGCGACCTGGCCAAAAAAAATGATAGCTCAACGAAAGTGGCTTATCACGTGGCAATTCATCGCAGCCAAATACTCTTAAACACACGTTTCTAAATGTGGAGGGGGAAAAAAAAAGACTTGAGCCGGAGAAAAATCCACCCGACCACGGACAGAACACGCAAACTCCAAATAGACAGCGGGCGTCAGGGTCGGAGATCGAAACCACGACCTCCTGCGTACCCGGCGAGGCAGTTAACATCTCGTTGCGGTGGCGTCATCTCGCGCGCGTGCACCGCAGGGATGGATACTTGTCCAGATTTCATGCCCGCACAATTTGGAAAAGAGCAATCTCTGCGTCGGTGGATAGACGGATATATCAAGTCACGCAGTGGTTAAAACTGCCCAGCATCACCATCACCGCGTACTACAAATATCTGTTGTTACTCTTTGGGTCTTTAGGTAACAATAGCTCATCACGTAGGTAGAAGAAAAATTAATAAAATAATTTAAAAACCACGACGTTTCGATCGCAACACAAGCAAATCGTCTTCAGGTGAAACAAATACAGCAGGCGGACCTGTTGAGGCGGGGCTGCTGTATTTTTCTCACCTGAAGACGATTGCTTGTGTTGCGATCGTAACGTCGTGGTTTTTAATTATTTTATCAGTTTTCTTCTATCTACGTGACTTTACCAAAAGACCCAAAGAGCATGAATTCCTGCAGTCACGAATGCTTTAAGTCAAGATTTAAGATCTGTTTTCTTTAAGGGGCCGTCCATAAATGACGTCACGCGATTTATGACGATTTTTGACCCCCCCTGCCTCGTCACACGGCGTCACAAAAAGTCAGACCCCCCTCAAATGACGTCACAAAGCTCTGCCCCCCCCCCCCCCCACACAAAAATAAAACATGCTTCAAATCGCTTTAAACTATTATCATTGTAGTGCGTAATGTGCCGCTGCACTCTGATGTTGTAGGAGAAAACATTTATTAAAAAGTCTATTTAATTAAGTAGAACGTGTTGTCTATATGTATTTCAATTGGCGCATTTTGATGTGACGTCACATTTCTCAACCCCCCCCCACCCTCGTCACACATCGTCAAAAATGTCTAACCCCCCCCTCTCCTCTAGGTGCGTGACGTCATTTATGGACGGCCCCTAACACATTGTTACTTTTGGGTGTGGTGACGCACGCCGATAAATCAGTGATTTGGATTGTGGATCAGTGGCTACAGGTTTGGGAAAGACCCAAAACTGTAGGGCCGAGAGATGGCCAGAAGATGGCAGTACAGCAAATGGTTTGGTAAAGCTGTGAGAAGCACCGATTGTTTTATGGTGGGAAAGGTGGCGACTTAATTTATGGCATAAAATTTTGGAATCCCAAATCCCGCCGGAATTTTTTAAAATAAAATAACTTATAACTTATTTTTAAAACTGATTTTTGTTGGTACTCTTTTGAACAGTGCGACGATAAAGCTGATATAACGCGAGACAAATCTACCTTTTACGAATAATTTGTATATTAAATGACCGATCCCTGCATGTGATATTTATGCAAAAATCAATGAATTTGTGAGTGGAAAAAAATCTTACTTTATTGAAAGAGGTGTAACAATAAGACATCTAAAGACGCATTGATTCTTAGATTAAAATTGATCCTCACACCCACGATACAATTATATTGTGCACGTAATAATATATTATCTTCGATTCGTGTAAGTTGCATGTAATGGGTTTATACGAACACTGCAGCCACTGGCATCTATACAGGGGACACAAAGGGAGAAACATCGAATTGCCACCCTGAACCGAAATAAATTGAATTTACAGGGGGTGAATCAATGCACGCCTATTTACGATTTTAGATAATAGTTAATTATTTATATAGCGCTTGATATCTCCCGGAGGTCTCGAGGCACCAAATGGGTGTTGACATTGAAACCTCAGACATTGCTCAAGGGACAAATTCGAAATCACAAAAAAATAAGAAAGAAAATCATCACCTAAATATATGATTCACTCAAAACAGTGGGACAACAGGTTCAGCATCGGAGGTAGGTGTGAAATAGCCGATTTGAAAATGGTTTTGTGAATTGTGCACACCACAAATGTGGTGGAAGATTACATCTTTAACACGTGCGCTTTCGCGGCAAATATTATCCACGAGTTTTTTTTATTGTTGTGTGGGTTAGATCGCTTAAATGTGTCGTTAAACCTGCCACCACCCGACGAAGCCAATTAGTAAGTTATTCACTCAAATTGTAAATGTTGTGGCAGACCTTACTGATTGGCTTATTTGGTGATGGTGGCGGGTTTTACGACATTTCCATTTACACGATCTAATCCCCCCCAAAAAACCCCATCTATTATGGACAAGATGAAATAATATATACTATGCTGGTCTTTAAACATCACCAAGTATTAAATCAACGCTGTCCACACACACACACGTTTCAGATCTTTTATTACCATAAAATATATCCAAACGGACGCTTCATGATCAAATTTTGGTATGGTTAACGCATACATAACACGCCATACTGCAAGCAGGACACTCGAGGCCGATATGGATAGCATTTTAGATAACAGCAACTGCTTTAAAGATACCTGTAAGATATTAACTGTTACAATTTTAAGTTTCCAACATTCTGAACCGTTATGAAGACGTAACTGTGTCCAGCCTCACCAGATTAATGACCGTAAAGTCTAACTTCACGATCATTGATGAATGAGTCAAAAGGCGCACTTGACAGCAATTACAGAAAGTGAAAAAAATGCAGACATTAAAAAAGCAGTCTTTTTCTGTGCTTCCAAATTCAGAGTTTCATGAGGACAATGGTGTACATCGCGAGGCCAATATATACACCAGAACATACCATGTACGCACTTTGCCGGGATGCTCCAATAAATATGGTAATTTTATTTGCCAAAATATAGCATATGGTCCTTCTGTACTCGTAAGTGAAAATAGTGTAGCAAGTAATCTTGGTAATATGCTATACATATGTATAAAAATAAATAGAGGATCCTTTTCATTTTTTTTAAGTTGATAAAGTAGCGTGAGCTAGGCACAAGACTCTGTCTAAAAGTTTATCGCAAGAAAAATGTAGGACTTTCACATTCGACCCCCTGAAAGCGAGTGATTAAGAGATTAAGATGGCAGGCAGTTTAGCAATCGTCGTCATGTTAACATAGAGCTGGCACAAAGGATGACGTTACGTTAATAGAAAAACGCAGTCGGATGCTTATACGTTATTAAAAATTAAAAATGCTCACAGGCTAAATGAATGAAATTGTACTTTATATTCAGCCATACAAATTATGTTTTTTTTTTTAAACAAAATAATCCATCACGGACCTGTAATACGCTATACTGTATATATGTTATCATTAACCAACTGGACCTTGCTTGTAAAGACCGTATTTCATCACGGAGAATAATTCACAATTCAGGCAGATCACAAAACGCAATGACAGCCCACAGTTTTATTTTATGTTACACTTGCATAGACTTTAGAACGGTGCATCATTTCAGACTCGAGCGGTCACTAATTCACCGTAGCAGGGATAAAAACGATCGTTTATAAATCCCACAGTCAGTTGAGAAGATGCAGTGGGGCCGCCCTTGATCGTGACCCTTTCGACGAGTCCTCTTCAGTGGCCGTGGCAACCTAGGGCCCCGCGTCGTGGGTCAAGTCATCTGCCATGCCAAACACGCCCCCTCCTCCTACATGGTTACCTACGCACAAAGAGGAAGAACATAAGCCAGAAAGCAAACGATTATGTTCACGTCACCCCTCTCATTGCTTAAAATGTGGTGCGCAACTTCAGAGACCTAGGCTAAACGTGAAGTTTCGGCATCAGCATCATCAGCCATGGGTTATACACTCTCGGATGAGGGCCGCCCCACACACCGTCACCATCCCCCTCCATGATCGCGTGCTGGCACAATCCATCTCCTATGCACGAGGTGATCTCATTGCTCCGTCTCCGCGGTGGTCATCATCTGAGGTGCATTCCCTCCTTTTGGCTGCCATTCTGTCACCAGTCTTGTCCATCAGCCATCATCCCGTCTAATGAGGTCTCTATTGCCCACGCCCGCTTACTCTTATGAAGAGTCGATATGATGTCTCCGATTTGCATTTTTCCCCAATTCCATCTATTCTCATTTCTGTCACTGAACATCAGTGGTTTTTGAAACATTCTGGTATGTGTCTGCCTCCATCGCTAGCCCCTATAGCGCCATACTGAGGCCGTCATATTTATATTTACACTTCTGTATTTTAAATATGTTGCTGGATGCAGACGGCCACAGACTAAAGAACTCAATTGCTTTGCCATAATCTTGCTATACAATGACTGGCGAAGGTTAAAAAGCATTAAATGAATGGGAGTTAACCTTAGTTTCTATATTTGCCTCTGGGGAAATGAGGCCAGAATTTATTCTCATGTGTTCTCAAGGCTGCCTGACAAAAAAAATCTCGTTGCGCCTTAGATAAACGCAAAAGAATTACAGCCAACATGAAAACATTCCTTGGTTCAATATTGCAGCCTTCTCTGCTGAGTAGCATGAATCACATATCCCCAGAAATATGATGGGGAAATATGCAGCATTTCCCCCCCCCCATCGATCTCTTGAAATGTGCTCATTGCCTCTTCCGTCAAGAGTTAATTCGAACCCATCCGCCCTCTACAGCTGAGACAATAATTTTTAAATAACATTTCCAGAGTGACTCATCGCCTTAAAGAAAAAAAATGTGGTGGCAGGCTGACATGAGTGGTTGTGTAATCCATATACAAATAAAACGAGTGGATAAATCATTCAGATCAAACGTATGTTTCATAAACATGATTACCGTAGGTATATTTTATCGTTAGTTATTTTCAGCCACATTGAAGAACAATGCCTTATCTCACGCAGTAATCACTACAAATATTTATGCAGCTTGAATAAAACTGTGCAGAAAATACTTTTTTTTTCCCACGTGGGGAGAGGAATATGGGATGGTTGTTTATTCTGATAACCATTCTCTACGACGATAATGCTTTGTTATATTAATGAAGGAAAAAGTATTCTAGTCTGTGTATGAAATAGGTTTTAGTTGAAGCCAAATATCTATCACTTGAAGGGAACGTTTACCCGTTGCACAACACCGTGATATATGGCCCTTAAGTACTACGCTTAAATTGCGACAGTTTTGCCTCTGTAGGAGATCAATTGGTTTTACCGGTGTTGTCAACAGTTGCCTGGTTCGATGTTGCATTCGTATCCTAGACAGTATTTACAGTATTTATGTTATTTATGTAGTTCATTGTAACAAATTCGGTCAGTCTCTATGATCACTGTTACATTGCAATTATGGCTTTATTTTTTGGTGATTTCGAAAAGTTTTTTGGTTTGGACATGTTTGTTTTGTTGTAGTACGGAGTTAGACTGATGGCCTTAATCTAAGTTTGTGTGGTTGTTGTTGTTGTTTGACTTGCATCCCACTGGGATTTTTGCACACAGCGTTGGTATACGGTGCTTTTTCAGGAATATTTTTGCTGTTTTTTTCATGGATTTTCTGTTTGCAGTCACATAGTCACTTTAAGATGTTTTCTTGTTCGTGTTTTTGTTTTTTTGTTTGTTATGGTTGCTCCCGATTCAAGAGCCGAATGGCTCACAGGGCTATAGCAAAAATAAACTGAAAACTGAAACAAGAATCATTGATGGCGTTTTAGTACGAAAAAAATGTTATTTCAATTCTACTTCTGAATTTTATATCATTTATTTATTTTAAAATCGTGCTTTCTTAAACATGTGCAATTGTTTGTTTGATATAGACATGAGTCAAGAAATATCCAATTCTGTGCTCTCCATTTGCCTGCGTGAAACGGTGGGGGCGCGATGTCCTTGCCCAATCCTGGCGAGCTGGCTCGAAAATTCAAAAAGCAAACACAATTGTGGCACAGACAGGGTGGTGAGTGGCATGAGTTGATAATTAACGAACCTCTCTCACTCTACCAATCCTCTCATCTGCTTGCCCTAGTGAAAGAACAAAAAGGTTTTTTGATTTAAAAAAAGAATGCATTTTCTTGTAAATCGAACAACAACTGGATGCGCAGGGTTTTATTGTATTCGATGGAAACTGTCATCATCATATTCTTAGCTCTTTCGGTAAAGTCACGTTGAAGGGAAACAATAAAATAATAAAATATATATCATGCCCGAAACTGCCCCAACCCCCCCCCCCCCAATACCTTACGTGGCCACTTTGAATTCAGTGCGAACGTCGCAAACCCGACCGTCGCATATCTGTCCTGGCCGATTCAGGAGACGTTCATGAGAAGTTCACTTCCCAACGGGTAAAGCTCACCGAGGACAACCCGGCCAGAAGGCAACAGCGGCAGCAAAGGGTGGCACAGTTAGCTCATTCACACCCAGTGCAGTATACGTGCAGGCTGTAACTGTAATTCATATTCTTAGTTCTTTCGGTAAAGTCACGTTGAAGGGAAACAAATTTATGCAAACCAACACACCTGAAGACGACCGTTTGTGTTATGGTCGAAACGTCGTGATAATTTTTATTGTTTTATATATATTTTATTATTTTGTTGTTTCCCTTCAACGTGACTTTACCGAAAGAACTAAGAATATGAATTACTGCAGTCACGAAAGCTTTAAATCAAAATGTAACTGTAATTCTTTATAGATGGTCGCAGAATACGACCTTTCTCACTTGTGTTCTCTATCTCACGTACATAGCACAGTAAAGCATTTTACGATGTTAATAAAGCAGTTTGCGTTTGAGATGTTAACTACCTCGCCTTTTACACAGGAGTTTCGTGGGTTCGATGCTGACCTTGACGCCTGTATATTGGAGTGTTCATGTTCTCCCCGTGGTTGTGTGTATTTTTCTCTGGGTCCTCCGGTTTTCCCCTCCACATGTAGCAACAAATTTCCACGTGATAAACCACGTCCGTTGAGTTATCATTTGTGGCCTGGTCGCTTCTGAAAAAAGAGCTGTATATCTCAGTGGGCCTTACCTGGTAAAATAAAAACTCAAGTTTATTTTTTTAAATCCAGGAACCCATATCTACACGGTGGTTGAAACTTGCGTTTGTATTGATGTTCACGTATCTGACCTCTTCGCAATATCGGCAAACACCTCGGTTCCTAGTGAGTCGTGAATATATGGGGCGCTGCCATCCCTCCCATCCCTCCCATCCCTCCCCCTGCCCTTTCGTGACCCCTATATGCTCCTTTGTTTCAGTCAATCATTCCTCGGCCATTGCCCCCCCCCCCCCCCCCCCCCGCCATCTAAATCACTCTTTTTCGTTGCCGCTTTATAAACAATGTTAAGCGCCTTGAGCTCAGGTGCTTTATAAATATAAAATGGGATAAGTGGGAGTAAGAAGAACGAGGGAAGGGGGGGGGGGGCTTCAGAGGGAAGCCAGAACACATCCCGGCAAAAACAAAAATCACGCACTCCACGATGAGCAAAATACACAGCCCACGACAGAGCTGCTTCAGCTGCCATTGGTTAAATGATGACGGATCCCACACATTTCTTGAATTCCTTCATGGCTTTGCAACGGCACCGAAAGCTCAAGTGCTAAGTAGACGCAATTTATGTGCGTCGAAATTCGCCGCTCACATTTCTCCATTTCCATTAATGAACCTTTTTAGTTTGTTTCAGACCGCGTAGCGGTACTGAGAAAAAAAATGGTGGAAATAACCGTGTGTTTGATAGTTTCATCTTGGCTGGTATAAAAACGACCCCCGCGTAACCACACATTAGCTTCTGGCTGCGCTCTCTTTAACCTCGTCAAAAAAATTGCGCAGGTAATGACAGACCCCGGGGTCATGCACAAATGCGGTGTGCGCGGTGCGGGGAACTTCAACATCAAATGAAAATAATCAAGGCATTGGCACCGCAGATAATTAATTTGAGCGATGCGTGCATTGTTATCACGTTTGTGTGTGCGTGTGTATATAAGGGGAGTGTTAGTGAAGCGGTTAGCGCACTGTGCTGCGAACCCGGCGACCCGAGTTCGATTCCTGCTCACGGCCAACACCAGTGACAATTATCTGAACCGATCCTGGGCCTCCCCGAGGTCGACTCAGCCTCAAAGGAGTACCGGGTGTGGTGTGTAAATATTGCCACTATGGAGACAAAGGCGGTCCGGTGTGGTGCTGGCCATCTACCCCCTCGTGTACTGTACCGGCCTTCATAGATGCTCGCTAATAGCACTTGCCCCAAGAGTCTGTTAAAGGGCTCTAAAAGGGAATCTTACATTTTTGTATATGCACCAACTAGCGTAACTACCCGGCTTCGCCCGGGACTTGGATTCACCACGCCCGGCCGCCTTTGTCTCCCCAATGGCGATGTTCACACACCACACCAGTTACGCGTTTGAGGCTGAGTCGACCTAGGGGAGGCCCAGGACCAGTGCAAATAATCGTCACCGGTAATGGCCGTGAGCGGGACTCGAACTCAGGTGGCCGGGTTCGTAGCGCGGCGCGCTAACCGCTACACTACAATGCGTTACGCTTCCACGTGCGCGGGTCGAATGACAGATTTGACGTCACAGCTCACTTGCCGTGCAAAAAAATATATGCATTATTGAGCTCCCCCCCTCCCAAATAAAAGTGCATTTCTATAATTTTTGCATGGTGTACAGTCTGGAAAGTACCCACATGGCAAATTTCAAGTTTGTTGCATGTCGGGAAGTATGCTAAACATTTTGAACAGACACACACAATCACAACTTTGCTTTTTATATATATGGATATTAAAGTGTACTGCGTTTTATTATTATGCATGATGCCAGCAAGAAACCTTGATTCACTTCAACGTACAGCAGTCAAGCTGATTGATATAATCCAACACTCACTGATTCACTTCAGTCACTTGCTCACAAGTGGTCAGTCACTCGATTATTTCTACTTCCATGGTAACCGACTGCTCCCATGACTTTCACTCATTGATTCCTCCACCCACATTGATAACTCGATCTGCTAAACTGACTTTAATTTCTAGATTTGAAGCTTTCGTGACTGCAAGGATCCATATTCTTTGGTTCTATTCGGTAAAGTCACGTAGGTAAAAAATTAAAACAACAAAAATCACGACGTTTCGGCCACAACACAAGCGGCCTTCATCAGGTGAAGGGACCAACCTGTCCAGCGGACAGCGTTGGAGTGAAGCTGTCCGCTGGACAGGTTGGTCCCTTCACCTGATGAAGGCCGCTTGTGTTGTGGCCGAAACGTCGTGATTTTTGTTGTTTTATTTTTTTACCTACGTGACTTTACCGAATAGAACCAAAGAGTATGACTTTCATTTCATACATACTGTGCTCAATCATCACAATGCACATCGCAACGCACTCACACTTACCCACTCACCGACCCACACACACACACACTGACCATAGTGCACATGACAACACTCACTACCCACTCATCCACTCACCCACTCAATCACCTACCACACATCATAACACACTCGCTCCCGCACTTACCCACCACTCACACACTCACTACCCACTCATCCACTCACCCACTCACTACTCACCTACTCACTCCATCACCGTGCCATACATCACAACAACACACTCGCTCCCACCCACTCAACCACCTACTCACTCACTCACCCACTCACTACTCACCTACCCATTCAATCACCGTACCATACATCACACTCGCTCCCACTCACTCACTCACCCACTCACCAGACTGCAAATCGAAACTCCTCTTTCTCATAATCTTCTCACACTGCTTGACTTTGGAATTCCTTCCCATTGGCTACTTTCCCACGTTCTTACAATCTTCATCAGTCCAAGGCAATGCGTTTGCTCTCATCTATTGCGGCTGAATAGTGATGTTTATTTCCTGTCCTCGGGCTTTGTACTCAATAACCGTGATATCTACAGGCAGTCCTTGAGTTACGATGGTCTGACTTACGATCTTACGATGGCGACAGCGATACGACAAAATTGCCATCAACAACCCAACATCGTTCAAGCATGCAGACGACGGACAGAATCTTGGCGACTACAGTTACAATATGATACGTTACGATACGTTCAATGCATGTATGATACGTAGCTTTAGCGATTTAATTTTAAGGGCTACCACGATACGGTACGTTCAATGCATGTTAAAAGTTTTTTTTTTATAGCAGATAGGATTGTTTGCTGAAAAAAACTTTCTATTAAATTGCAGTTCATATAGGTAGGCTAAGAATTTACCTTGTTTTTTACTTTACATTTTACTGTGCAATACAGTATTCTAATTAATAAATACATACAGTATATAGTTTATACAGTACGGTACTGTAAATTGCTCTGTTTTGCTAAATTATCACCATTCTTTAAGACTCCTGGGTAGGCTAAGGCCATCTTCGACTTACGATACTTTTGACTTACGATGGGGTCGTCGTAACGCATCTCGATCTTAAGTAGAGGACTACCTGTATAATAATAAAAGCAAATACCCCTTCCTTAGCCGTGCATCAATAAGTAACGTGATGACTTGTGGAGGTGGCGGGGGGGGGGGGTCACTCACCATTGCGGTTGGGAAATGTGTTGTTGAGTCGCTCCATCACTTCTTCCAGGCCGGTCCCCGAGTCCTTGGGAAGCATCAGGATGTCTTCATCTCCTGCTGCAGGCACAAACGAACAGCAGATGAAGCTAGTTGTAATTACTGGCGAAACGTCGTGCTCAGATTGTAAATGCCTCTGGCTTGGCTCTCCAACACACAACCGGTGTGCTGTACTAGTAACGAATTGGCAGGTTCTATTTACGTGACAAACCTGTATTGTGGATGATATTGGTCGCGAAAGCCGACGTGTTAAACGGACGGCAGCTATCGTACCCAGCTGTCTTACAGCCGACGCAACTGAAGCTATCAAACACGTCCTGGCTTGGTTTCAGAGAGAGGCTGTTCCATCGCGGTGTGTCCTGTGCCATTTCGTAAAAAAATTGTAATTGGTCCTGCTTTATACTGGCAGGAACCTCCTGGTTACACCAGCAAACAGGGGATTATTGTGTCCGTCCGTCCGTCGTGCATCCAAAAATGGGAGGGGTGGGGCTGGGTGGAGAGGGGAGGGTGGGGAGGGGCTGGGTTGGGAGGGAGGGGCTGGGTGGGGTGGGGAGGGTGGGGAGGGGCTGGGTGGGGAGGGTGGGGCTGGGAGGGGGGTGGGAGGTGTGGGGCTGGTTGGGGAGCGGCTGGTCACCCCGTGGTGCCCTTATAAAACTCAACGTTTAACCTACTCACGCCAGCTTGTGCCCGCCCTCACAGTCGGGCATATTTGCGGAATACACCACGTGGTGCCGCCGTTGACCCTGGCCATTGACCGAGCAACCCAACGTTCCTACCAGCTCCCTCCGCAGGACTGTGTTCTGGACATTCGTCGTGGTTTATCAGGACACATTAGCAGAAGAGCAAATGTGATTCGTGAAATGACTTTGTGCGGAACTTTGTCAACGTCTCCTATGTGTGGATTTTATCCGGGCACACGAGCAAAAACACACCCGTTGGAGCTGTCCTAAAACAACTATGCAGAACCCCCCCCCCCTGAATGAAATACTGTTTAAGACATGACTAATGTTGTTATTGTTAACGTTTGTTAATCTGTTGTGAAACATATAATAATAAAAAAATCCCTTAAATTAACGATGAAGTTTTACTGAGTCTCCAGACTCTTTTTCGGGAGAGTCCTGCATTGGGATGTTTGTTCAAATCCATAAATGAGTGTTCGGCTTCACGCGAGAGGAAACTGGAGCGCTCGAAGAAACGCTACGCACACGAGGGGGGGGGGGGAGGAGGCGGGTGGGTGGTGACACTCAAAGTTTCACGTAGATGGACTCAAGGATCCCATTTGCAGCGCTGCCATCTCCTGGCTATCATCTTACGGCCCAAGCGCATACAGGCACCTGGTATTGCAGAGCATCCTCCCGCCCGAGTACCAACCAGACGCAACCCTCCCGGTGATGCGGTCATTAATGAGTGTGACCTTCGCCGAAGTTGGTGCGACCTCATCTCATCCGAGCGATTCAGGAGTCACAGGCAGCGAGGCCTTCTCCGTGCGCGCCCACCCGAAATGTTGTGGTGGTGCCGCCCGTTGGTGGCGGCGGTGGCGACGGCGCTGCTGCTGGTGCCGTTCTGCGGAAGGCCCTGCGTGGACTCCGGCGAGCAGGAAGACGGGGAGGAGAGGTAGGAGCCGTTCACCCGAGACGCGTCGATGGCAGGCTGTGGGAGAGATGGGCGGGCCAGCACGCGTGAAACAAGTGGAATGACAGCGGCTGTAATAACATGGGGAAGCAGTACCTAGTGTAGAAAGTTATCGCTGAAGGCCTACGAAACAGAAGTGCCTAGGGCCTACAAAAGCCTTATTCCGGGCCCTGGCGAGCAGCAAGAGGACGTGTGTCGTGGATAGAGGGGAAAGAGCTGTGGGAGATTGAGAGAGAGGGCGATGGATGGTGGTGAATACCGAACGGAGAGATGATGACAGAGGGGAGAGGTAGAACGGGGAGGGATTGTGGGTGAAAGAGCTCAAGAGAAAAACACAAAGTAGAGTTTGCAAACAGAACATTTGAGGAAGATAGGGCGAGAGCCAAAGGGGAGACAATGAATGGGAGATAAGTTAAATTAAAAACATCACTTTCAACACATGAAACAATATCGTCATATAAACACAACATTTATCATTTCGAGCAGTGGCACAAAACAATAAATAAGAACTTCCTGAAATTAATACGTGTATTCTTCAGCAAGTGTGGTGAGACTTGTTTAGGTGACCTCTCATATCATTCCCTTGCTGCCATGTGGATATTTGCCAATATGACAAACGGTGAGAAACGGGCCGCAAAACTCGAGCTGGTAAATAACTGCCGATGATTGCGGCTGCGAGAGCGATCCGAGAGCGCGGCCACCCAAGCGGAGGAGCGGTGTAGATTTAAGAAGGGGCGAGTCAAAGCGCGTCGTGATCACCCGTCAGCGACCAGGGACTAATGCAGGGGTGCGACATCAAAGCGGCAAATGATGACGTGAACACGTTCGCGTTCAACCCCTCCGCGCGTGGCTGTGTTTGAACGCGCTTCGACATTTCCGCGCGGCCGCGTCGATGCCGCAACGCCGGGGGCACAGCCGTCGCCTGTTCGTACGGGCGGAGAAATTCCCCCCGCCGCCCTGAATCGATTGCCGCAAATTTGACATCACGTCGTGTTCGCCAAACGGATTATCTCTCGTCATCGGCGGTGCAAGGCGACGTGAATCTATGCACGCTAATCTATCGTCGTCAGCCATCATCAATCCCAGGGCTGGATGAGCGCTTCCCCCAATAATCTATAGTCGTTTAAAACTATAAACTAATGAATAAACAAAGTAAACAAATACACACTCAATCATTACATGCACAATTCAATGTACAATCCAATTGCATGCATGCATCGTGTGTTAATCATTGTGTTAATCAATTTTAATCAAAAAACGATTACAACCTCAGCCGCGAGACCACAGCATGCTGCAAAGCATCTGACTGTAGTCGCCCGATCTGAAGACATTTGAGTGCTCAGGATAGATGTGCATCAATCATGCAACGTTCCATGCAGGGCAGAGTTGATATTTGCTACGAATGTCGACATCGTTGTTGTTTTCAATTGACCAAAAGCCAAACTCAAACGAAGCAATAATATTTTTTCAATATTGTTGCATAAAACAAAGTTTGTTGTCAATGTTCAACGGTGTTGTTTCCTGGGGCAAGACCTCAGTGAGGGGATGAGGTGGTCTCAGAGGCAACCCCACCCGGAGATTTTGTCCATTAACTCTTATTAAATCTTATCGAACTATTAATAACTCTCGGCTAACTCCAATTTTTTCACATTCGATTAGTGCCTTTTGTTGCTGGCCACTTCGGTTTTTGGGACCTCTGGGCCTGTGCTCGGCAGCTGTTATGGGGGGGGGGGGGGGGCGAAACAAAAAACTAAGCATCGTTTCAGCTCTTGCGACAATGTGCACGCGTGTTAAACCGCAGCGTCACTTCAACAGCTGCATCACGTGCAGCAATCAGGATGACGGCCATTGCTCTCAATAGATTCACATTAATCAATTTGATCGATGCATCGATACAGGCCTAGAAATGTCAGGTGCGGGGGAATGCTGCACGACTTAACGTCACCTTCGCGCCGACGGCCGCGTCGCGCGCTGCGTGCGGTCCCCCCGGGGCATCGGGAGTGAACCGGACAATTAATGCCCGTCAATTCTCGGCGATTAATGGCTCGATTCAAGTAATTATTTATCACCGTTACAGCGCTAACGACAAGCGGCTTTTGGCTGACCGTCGAGCAAAGACGGTCACCACATCGCGTGTTGGAAACCACTGGAGCTACGCTGGAAACCACTGGAGCTATGCTGGAAACCACTGGAGCTACGCACTTTTTTTTGTGTTTTAGTTCGTTACCCTTCCCCCGCATGTCCAATGAGCACGGTTGGCTACGTACGGTACAAAAGACGTCCAACGCACATACACACATACACACACACACACACGTTGCACGCAATGACACCTCCACCACTCGACCTCCCACCTCGCGGTCGACGACCGCATCATCGCACGCGCAGCGAACCGGACAGCGACCGGGGCCCCCGCCCCGTCGCCGCACGCACCTGGGTGAGCAGCGAGCGCAGCCGCAGGAGCTGCGACTCGAGCTGCCGGTTGTGGTCCTCCAGCACGCGCATCCGCGACTCCAGCCGCCCCTTGTGCTGCCGCAGGAGCCTGGCCTCGGCGACGAGCTCGCTCTCCGGCTGCGCGAACTCCCTGCCGTGGAGCTCCGTGCCGGGCGCCGAGCCGCCCTTGGGGGGCAGGGGGGGCGGCGGGGAGGGCGACTGCGGCGAGTGCAGCGGCAGCGGCGGCGGGGGCAGCGACGCCGGCGGAGGGAAGTGGAGGCAGTCGGAGGAGCCCGACTTGCTCTCGTGCTGCTGCTTCAGCTGGTTGTACTCGGCCGTGAGATTCCTGGGGACAAGAAGAAAAAGGCGGCAATCTACGGGTGCCGGAGGACTCGGTGATCGCGGAGGCAATGATGCTGTCAGCTGAGAAGGAGGATGGATTGCCTCAAATGCCATCTAATATATACTTTTTTTATATTCTATGGTTCTATCGGTAAAGTCACTTTAGCGAAAGAACCATAGAATATGAATTCCTGCAGTCACGAAAGTTTTAAGTCAAAATATACTTTTCACTTTTACAGAAGTGTTCTTGATGATTGTGTAGAGCTTGGTCTGCGAGGGATAGAGTTTTAGATTTTATTCTTTCGCGGATATTGGATTTTTGGATCTGATATCCAAAAATTACACCCCCTCTCGCAGCAATCAAACATTTCGTCCGAAGGGTGCTTGAACCAACCCTTGACGGCTTTAGTCGACGAGGCAAAGAGAAAGACTCCACGACATACACAGACTCGGACTGAAATTCCGCAGGTTGTTATCGACCGCATTCAGACTCCCACTGAAGGAGAAACTGCTTCACCGTGGTAACCCTGGTCTCATGGCACCCCCGATTCCAGAGCCTGGGCCTGTCAATCAGGGTGTCGCTCCGCTGTTATCGGTGGGACTTTCGCTGCCGTACAAAGCTTCTCGAGTGTGACAGGTGCCATCAGCGCGCAGCTGCCCGTTTACTGGAAATGAACCGCTCTCCGAAACGAATCAAAAAAGACAATGGGGGGGGGGGGGTCCCCCATTTACCGGTGCTCCTCCTCCAGCTCGGCGATGATGTGACACAGCTCCTCGCCCTCGTCGGTGTCCATGGTAACGAGCATCGGGCCGGGGTCGTGGGAGCCGGGGCATGGTGACTCGGCGCCCAGAGTCTGGCAAAAGTGCCGGATCAGGATGTGCTCCTCGTCGCTGCGACGGCACGGACACGAAGGCAAAGGGCACAACACGATGTGGTACAGTGGACTCTGTTACTGCAGTTGTTATTAATACTCGTGCGTACCGGGGATGCACACAGGCAATGACACGCGTGTCCGTGTGTCCGTGTGTGTGTGTGTGTTGTATGCAAACAAAGTGGGGAGCGGTAGTGTAACGGTTAACGCGCTGCGCTATGAACCTGTCGACCAGAGTTCGATTCCCGCTCACAGTCAAGACCAGGGACAATTATCTGAACCGGTCCGGGGCATCCGCTAGGTCGACTCAGCCTCAAATGAGTACCCGGTGCGATGCCTAAACATAACGCCACTCGGGAGACAAAGGCGGCCGGGCATGGTGCTGGCCACCCATCCCCTCGTGTGCCGTTCCGGCCTTCATAGGTGCTCCCTAACAGCACTTTCCCCAACAGTCTGTCAAGGCTATACGGGGGATCTTTGTCTTTGTTCCATGCTACATGAAGTTGTAGCAAACAAAAACAAAAACGATCCCCAATCCAGCTCACCGATTTGTGGGACAACTTCTGTTAGAAAGCACCTTGAAAGGTCACTACAGTGCACGAGGGCTGGTGTGACTAGCAGCGCAGCCGATGCGTACACACCGCAGAATGTACTTCACGTAAGGCTGAGTCACCCGAGAGGAGGATCAGGACTGGTTGAGATATTCGCCACAAATTGAAGTCGTGTGGCCAGGAACTGAACGCTGGTTACCGGGCTCGTAGTGCAGTGCGCTACCCGCACGCACGCGCACATTTAATCGCGCGCGTGTGCACGTGTGATGCGCACATGATTAATTTTTATTGAATCTTGAATCGTTATGGGGTGGTGACGACGTTGCAACGAGCCATTTCAAGTGCCTCTGCCGGAGCGGCGCTCACATGCTTTCGTTGGGCGAGGAGACTTCACGCAAATACGATCCGTTTTTGTTTTCCATTGCGGCGAGCCTGCGACAGACACGGCACGGAGAGGCGCATTGGTTTTTGTTTGCTGTTGCAGTTACTTATTAAACAAACTAAAATGTGTATGTGGTGAAAACGGACATCATTCAATGGGAATGAATTTCCTATTTAAATTAAAATCTGTGTGAAATGGGGTGAGGTGGGGGGAAATGACAACAAAGGCAAGAAATTAATAAGAACGCTACTGACGGGCTTGAAAGTTGGACTCGAAACACCGGGTGGGAGGGGGGGGGGGAGTAAGAGTTGGGCACCACAGAATTGAGAATGAAGGAAGACAAATCGGAGGGATTACAAAACCGGATGGGGAGGATGCAGAGAGTGGTGGGGGTTGTCCATCTCGGGCGAGCCACGAGGAGGTCGACGCTGGCAGGCGGAAGGGGAGAGGGGGGGGGGGAAACGGCGTCCGCGACGGGAGAGTCGACCGCACGTGGATGGGAAGCACGCCGCGGTGGAGACCGACTCGAGGGGCGGCGGGGTCTAAGGTAGAGGTGGTGGCACAGTGGTGAACCAAGATACGAAGGGATGTGGGAGTGGACATGGAGATGGTGGGCCCACGACAGAAATGTCACGGAAGGCAGATACTCGACGGGTGTCAAGAAGAAGACAATTCAATGAGGATGTCCTCCCCTATCCATATTAAAAGGCCAGGGTGGCAGCGGGGGGGTGGGTGGGGGGGGGGTTGGGAAGGATTTAAAAAACACATTACCGGCTGGCGAAGTGTTCGATTCGCGCGTGCGTGTCCTCGTGAGACAGCTGAGGAGAAGGGCTGAAAGCGGGGGGGGGGGGGAGGGGGGTGGAAAAACAAAAAGACGCGGGTAATTTCTTCGACGAAAATGGAGCGCGGCCACAAAAAAAACACCTCTGGTCACATGGGCGGCTCGGAAAGTCACGTGACTTCCAGCGGCCGTTCGGGTGTGCGGTACTCACTCCAACGACACCGGCCAGAGGTTGATGACGGTGAGGGGACTGCAAGACAAGAACAGCCGATGGCCGCGTGAGGGACGCGATCGCGCGAACGCGAGCGGCGCGGTGCGGACGCGGGGCTCCCAAAAGGACCATGCCTTGACACGCGCGTGTCATGTACGCCGAACTTCTTTCGCGCTGTACGCGGCCATCCGTGCCAACCGTAGCCGACCGTAGCCAACCGTGCACGCCAACCTGCCACAACTCACTCGTACGTTTGGTCATCGCGCCGTTCTCTGCAGCGCGAGGCTATCACGAGGGCGCTGTGTACAGGGTGCATTCGTTTTCACGACGTTGCTTTGAGGCTATTCCCAATTATGTCAGTTTGCGAGTCCGTAATGTTCAAATTCGGCAAAATTAAGACCGCGGTGTCAACGCCCGTAGCCCTTCTCCTTTTGCAAGTACCGTCAGGTGGAATCTTTAACGCACGCTGCGAAGCAGGCAGTGCACCCGCAGTATATTAACCGCGGCGACACCCTGGGTCCTAACCGTGAACCTCCACAACAAGCGGCAAAGCGCGTTACCGCTCGGCCGCGTCGCCGCTTTGCGGCTCGGAGCGGCAGGGACGCTGCTCAAACAGAGTGAGAATTGCGTCCGATTTTTGTTTTTTGTTTTACCCGCAGTAGATAGTAGGTCATGGAGTAGGGGATTTAGGGAGGTTCAATAGCGTCGGCGTGACGGTGCCTTCTGTTCCGGTTATGGTAGGCGGTTATAATAACTTCAAGAGGAGGGCGTTGCTGGTGAGATGTTAACTTCAGTTTGTATATTCCGAGGCTCTGTTATGTACGCGTTTGTTCTTTTTTTATGTCCGGCGTTTTAGAACTAAACATAATTGCAAAATCAGGACAAACGCTCATGGGCCGGCGGGCGCTCGGGAAAGAACGATGTTCGTCTGCAGCCAAAAAACCAGAAGTTAACGACGCGTGCGCTGAGCTCTTGAAGAAAAGTGCACGCGCAAAATAACGATGTCCCCCCGCGCGCAAAAGAGCACGTATATGACAATGGACGCGAGCCTCGGGTTTTTCACCGCCGTGTTTGCGCGAAGATTGTCTACGGCTGCGCCGTTTATTCGACCTCGAGCGCCTTTATTTCTTTTGTGAACAGCACCGGACGAGAGCCGGTGGAGATGATGAGCCGCTTTTTTTGCTTGCTACAAACGGAGTCCAGAGTAAACACGCGGCGAGATCGCACGGCGTGTCGACGCGGATGCGATGAGTACGGCGCATTCACAAAAAATAAACTTTCACGGTCGTTGGACTTGCGGACCGAAGAGTGTAAATGTTATAGCAGTTGGCATTGCACGTTAACCGACAAAGCTAAGATAATCGGCATTCGAGATGTATTGCTATAGAAGGACACTAAACATCTAAACTGTACGAGACGACAGCCTGATCACGCAGGCAGTGATGAGAAGGAATCCGGCACTATTTGGACACACGTGTAGGATGGGCAACAACAGGGACGCTAAAAGTGTGTCGTTCGGAGAAAAAACGGAAGGAACCGGAGAGAGAGAGGGGAAGACGTGAGAGAGAATGGGCTTGACGACGACATCGCAAGAGACTGGCGCCAGAAAGATGTCGCCACTACTTGAGCACACTGGCAACAGGACGGAGGAAAGTGGAAGCAAATGGCGGAGTGTGCGGTGGACACCTACGGGCCTATCTGCCCATGGATGAAATAAACATTCGAGAAATTAAAATCCGTTAGAATATTAGGTGTAGAATGTTGCAGCTGCTCTATGTGAACATTCTGTTGAGGAGGATAATTAAAAAAAAAATGTTTACAACACTCTGGATGGTAGCGCCTTGAGTAGATGCAGGATTGACGTGACACCGTTATACTGGTAGGAACCTCCTGGTTACACCAGCCCACAGGGGATTATTATTGTCCGTCCGTCGTGCATCCATAAATAGGAGGGGTGGGGCTGGGTGAAGAGGGGAGGGTGGGGAGGGGCTGGGTGGGGAGGGGTGGGGCTGGGTGGAGAGGGGAGGGTGGGGAGGGGCTGGGTGGGGAGGGTGGGGAGGGGCTGGGTGGGGAGGGTGGGGCTGGGTGGGGGATGGGAGGGGTGGGGCTGGGTGGGGAGGGGCTGGTCACCCCGTGGTGCCCTTATAAAACTCAACGTTTAACCTACTCATGCCGGCTTGTGCCCACCCACACAGTCGGGCATATTGTGCTGAACACACCACGTGGTGACGCCGTTGACCCTGACCATTGACCGAGCAACCCAACGTTCCTACCAGCTCCCTCCGCCAGGAATGTGTTACGACGCAAATTCAAACCAAGGTTTGTAAATATGATCATTTTTGAGCTGACAGACAAGAATCTTAAGCGATACAAATACATTCTTACGATTGTAAATATGATGCGTACATCATGTATGCATGTTAAACTTTTTTCGCGCCGTACATTGCCAACCGTGCTAATCGGAGGTGCCAAGTGGATTATTGCGTCGCAAGATCGAGACAGGTGATGGTGGCGGCTTGGGAAGGTCTTCATCCAGCTGATGATGGTGATGATCGTGAGCTTAAGAATCAATAATAATCTATGAATCAGTGGACAGTCGTTGCACAAATATCATCATGAATAAACCTTACATTAAAATGCCTGTTAACGTTGACATGCACGCAACAAAACACAGCTCAGATCTGCGCGGCTTGACGATTTTTTTTTTTGGTTTACGAGCAATGAGACAGCTTCTGGTAAAACACCGAAATAGGCAGCAGCGGCAAGCAGCAGCAAGCAGCAGCGGCGGCGGTAGCGGAAGCGTCTCCTCTGGCCGGGCGGGATGCACTGGCGCTCACGTTTCCATGGTGTCGCCCTCCAGCACCGTCTGCACCGGCAGGTAGCCGAGCCGCTGGTGCTTGCTGAAGTACCGCTTCGACTTGAACTTGTTCCGCAGCACGCGCGTGAAGTCACGCACGTCCTCGCCGGACGTCGTCTGAGAAGGGGAAAACGTTGAAATCAACCAGGGGAGGAAAATCGAGCGAAACTACTGCCTGGATCCCGTCGCGCCTTTTGCAACGTGCGTTTGCTCTCGGATGTATTTAATGAGTGGCGATAATAATAATTATAATAATGTAACTCATGGTAGCACTGGTGCCAGACGTGTCGGATGCAGTATGTTTGCAGGCCGTGGGCAGACGACAGACATTTGGAAGGATTGAAGCTTTCGTGAGTGCAGGGATTACGATACTCGTGATTGGTTCTTTGGGAAAAGTCACGTAATGTCGAAATAAAATAAAAATTAAAATAAATAGATCACCACGTTTTGAACGCAACACAAGCGCTCGTCCTCAGGTGAAAATGTCGCAAACCACACAGCGAGGGACAAAGATCCCCCGTATAGCCTTAACAGACTGTAGGGGCAGCGAGGGAACGCACAGAGGGACATCACGCGCAGAGCACACAGAGAACGGCAAACTGCACGGAGGGCGTTCTCTGTGTGCTCTGTGTGTGATGTCCCTCTGTGTGTCCCACCTCGCTGTGTGGTTTGCGACATTTTCACCTGAGGACGAGCGCCTGTGTTTGCGTTCGAAACGTCGTGATCTATTTTAATTTCATTTTTATTTTATTTCTACATACGTGACTTTACCGAAATAACCAATGAGTATAGACATTTGGTAGCGGCAGTGCCAGGGAGGGCACGGTAAACCCGATTAATTAATTTGGCCGATATTCTATTGGCCAAGTCGCTCATAACAAAACGACTTTATTCAAAGGAGCCGATTAATGTCTGATCATCATTGCGAGAGTTACAATGCCCCCCCCCTCCTCCCATTACAGACGGACAGACAGATGGAGCTAATGCAAAAACGCCTTCAACGTCAGTCAGAGAGTGTTAAAGAGACCTGAAGGGGGTCACGATGATAATGGGGGGGGGGGGGGGGGGGGAGGGACATACATAGATGCGCAATACAATACAGTAGTTAGAGCAGACTAATAAACAAATAAAAATAATGAGCAATGGGATTTGATCGATGTCACCGCACTCTATCCTGGTGAGCATCAGCTACATGATTAACAGGTATCATCGGAACATAAGACAATCACAATTTGATGTCAACTCTACGTTGACACCCGAAGTGTCCAATGTAAGTGGGTTCCAAGTGACAACTACTTTTATTGGGCAGAGTAGCTGCCCCGTATATCATTTGGACGCGATCGTCCCTCCGTCTGTCCCTCCCTCCAGCCAGCGTTTTAAAATAATACAGCAGAGTGAACGTTCTCGTCGTCGCACGAAGGTTGCCCGCACACCCACGCCACTCTCCTCGAGCCTCCCCCCCCCCCCCCCCCCCCCCACGCGCCGTGTAGCCAGTCAGCCAGCAAAACTTTTTTTTTTAAATACAGTACTATATTGGAGTTGCACGCACTGTGTGGTAAACGAAAATAACACTTTGCATCTACGCACATCAAGCTGTCGTGGTGTAATGGTGCGCACGCTAGACTTGCGCACGTTCAACTTGATTTATCAAAGCAAAATGCAAACTGTGCACGATCTACGTGCGAACACAGATCACGCAACTTGCCACACGATGCGTTCATACAGAGCTGCGGAGTCGCGGATCGTTGGCATTTAATGCTGCCAGCAGGTGACCGCCAGTTTGTTTTTGTGTGCTTTTCACAGCGAGAACCCACTCTTCATTGCGCTCTAGCGTTAACACCGGCACCGACAGCTTGCCTGACAATTGCGGTTTTGTTACCGAGAATTGGCGGCACAGCCAAATGTGTAACAGCTTTGTAGAACAGGGAGATGGTACATGAAAAAAAACAAACCCCTATAATGAATTTCACAAAAAGCAATAAACACTTGTTAAAAATATCACTGGCCTACCACTGAAAAATAACTGACCACCATGTTATATATGGTGGTCATTTCTTGCACGCGATGACATGAACAAGAATAGAAGGCCATTTAAGTGACACACACAAAATATCATAGGTAAAAAGATTATTCCACGCTCGGCCAATTCTCATTCATCATGACAGTCGCACGTGTTTTTTTTTTAAAGGTGGGCAACGGACTGGGAAATGAATCCCAAGCGGAATTCCGACGATACACACGCACATAAAATACTGTGGGTGTTGAATGTGAAGTCTGAAAGGGAACGCGGATGATTAAAGGCAACTGGATCTATTTGTATCATGAATATTGAACTACGAATTTCTAAAGGAGGGTAGAGCGATGGCGCAGCAGTGTGCACAGTGCATCATAAACTCGGTCACCTGAGTTGAATTCCTGGCAATGGTTTTTAGTCGGTCCATGTTGAGTGAAAGTCGTAGACATGGACAATGAAGGCCGCCGGGAGCCATCAGGTCGAGTGTTAATTACTAAAAGTTTACGGATTTGGCTTTGTCAATCGCACCTCGGATTAGCATGGTTGTCTACGTACCGTGCGATAGAAGTTTAACACGCATACATACAATCTACTGCTGGATCAGGAGGAGTTCCACACAGTGTATGGGTCGTGGCTAACATCAGCCAGGCAGTGGCATCTGCAGCAGTCCTCCTGGGTGCTCGCCTTTACCAAGTTTGTTACCCCGGTTTCAAAAAAATAAGTTAAACTGACCCAGCCATGGAAAAAATTACGGTAAAAAAAAACTGCCCCCGTGAAATGCACAAGATGCCTTCATCCAGCGGCGGACTGACAAAGCGTTGCCTCGTGCCGTTATCTTTCGATAGGGCTGGCGGAGGTGCGTCACCTCCCTCCATGTCTCTCCGTCCTCCGCCAGTTTTCCCTGCAGCATTCATTTGCATCCCCAGCCGCTTGTCTGCATCATATGTGGATCGCCTTCTTGGTACAAATCAGAATAATTATTATTCAAACATCTGTAATGTTTGACTCCTGCAGTCCACGTTTTCATGCGGGTTGCCCGACAAAGCAAAGAAAGCCATTTTGGTCACGGCAGTCACACCGATCACACCTCGATTCAAAATAACCTGATGAGAAATCCCCGCCTCCATAGTTTAAACATGTCAGGAGGGGCTACCCCCCACCTGTATGTATGTATGTTGAACTTCTTTCGCACCGTACGTAGCCAACCGTGCTAATCCGAGGTGCGGGGGAAAGGACAACAAACTAAACACGAAAAGCAGTTCTGCAGAAATGAGTTTTCAATCTAGATTATTTAAAAGTGCATAGTTCCAGTGGCTTCCCAATATGTGAAGGAAGAAGGTTCCAGACTGAAAGCGCGCGACGCGGTGATCGTCTTTGTTCGATGGCCAGCCAAAAGTCGCTGCTGCGAGGATGACCACCGGAGTTCATGTGATGATGGTGCATGCTCCTTGACGAGATCAGCGAGGTATTGGTGGTTAATTTGTGACGAGCACTTTTGCGTGCAATGAGTCCGACATCATAATGCCACAAAACCCTGCTTATACCATACGCTACAAAAACCCATTTCTCCTCATCACCACTACCACACCCCTTCCCCCGCCCCCCCCCCTCTCCATTCCCTCCGCGTCGCACATTATCCAAGAGCTGCACACGTCCCTAAGCGGTGCACGCGCCGCGCTCTTGGCCGTGAGCCAACGCGCGGGGGGACGCGGTTAAATCCATCTGGACAGCCCGTCCGGCTGCGGCCGCCCGCGACGGAAGAGCCGCCAGGAGGTTCATTAGGGTGGCTTACCGGCGTGCAGTACTCCACCATGGGGTAGTGAAGCTTGTGTCCCTTTGCCGTGCGGCCCGAGAAGAAGCAGCTCTGGCAGATGTCGTAGTTGAAATGTTTCAGGCTGCGGTAGCTGCAATCAGAAGGGAGCGGGGGTATTACATAATGCAATTAATTATTACCGGATTATAACAAGCATTTTTTTTTTACCCTGTAGTTCGAAAGCAAAAGTTTGGGGTGATGTTGCGTCTTATATTCTGGTGGGTATATGTGTATATATCACCAGCTTTTGTATATGAAGAATGCTGCATTATACAGGCTGCTATTGTGAAATGTGATTGATGAACACCCCTTCTATTAAAAAACCGTGGCTGTGTATGGGCTTCAATATGGCAAAAGGAAGTGTGTTATTTAGACACTTCCATCCAAAAGTCTCGGCTACATTTACTCAAACAAAAAACGATCTGGAAGTCCAGACAAATGGGTCACGAGCACTTTCGAAGAAGCGATCGTCATTAACAACGAAGCCACATTTTTACCAGAAAGCAGCACAAGGTCTGGTAAACATTACGTACACATTCTACTGTGTTCACAGTCCACTGCTAAAGGACTTCGGGTCAATGTGAAAACAACACGTATGATGTGTCAAATAACGAACCGCAAACTCAGACCCATTCAGGCGGAGGGACACTTGTTCGCAGATGGCTCTTATTTACATTCCTGAGTAGCCGAGGTCTTAAATCTGCGGCAATGAAACCTTGTACGTGGTGGGACCTATGCGGCCAGCGGGGTGAACTTTCTAGTGGAGAGGGGGTCAAGAAAATTCCTCGTGCGAGATCCCTTGCTGTGGTTTGGAAGCCGTGGAAAAAAATGTAGAAAAGTGTACGTGGCATATGTGTAGACGAACGGGCCATCCCAGAGGGTTTTCTTTACGAGGTAAGGCCCTCTGAGCTACATAGCTCTTTTTCAGAAGCGACCTCGCCACAAATGATAGCTCAACGAAGTGGCTCATCACGCGGAAATGTGTAGCAGGAAATGTGTGTACTCTAAATGCACGCTTCTGAATGTGGAGGGGAAAAACCGGAGGACCCGGAAAAAAAACCACACGACCACGGGGAGAGAGGACACGCAAACTCAAAATATACTGCAGCCGGCGCCAGGGTCGGGATCGAACCCACGAGCTCATGTAAACCAGGCGAGGGAGTTAACATCTCACCACCGTGGCACCCTTCTCCACAGTGTGGGTCATGTTTGCTGTTTGACCATGCTTCACCATGCTAGTCAGTGTGGGGGCGGGAGGGATGGTGAAGGAGGGAAGCGCAGATGATGACAACGTAGTTCCACCATGGCCAATAACGCCTGCAGTGCATGGTAGCGATCGCCCTTCCTAGCACTATCCAAGGCCCAGCCCTGCTTCGTGTCCGAGATCTGACGAGATCGGGCACATTTAGCAGTGTTTAATTGTTAATGCATTCAATCTAATATTGAAACAAGAGTTCAAATATTAAGTAGAAATATTACAGTAAAAGTTACGTGCAACTCGTAATATTATTGTCATATCATTACACTGCAAAATAATAATAATACTAATTCACAGGAATTTGTCAGTCCACTGCTGGATGACCGTTTTCCCAACTGGTCAGTGCCGGTTAGTGATGTGAATGGGGCCCACGACCAGATCAGATATCACTTGCCACCGATACTAGCCATAGCTGGGAATCGAACTCGGGTCGCGTTCGCATTGCAGTACGCCAACTAAAGAGTCACCCCCACCCCTTCTTCCCCTTAAAAAGCATGATTCGTGCTGCACATGAATATTGCGTTTTCATTAATTTTCGTGGCAGATGCACCTTCGTGTTGTCACACCCCTGGCTCATTCCTTATGCTCTCGAAAGCTCTGCTCATAAATAACTGGTTCTTCCCACAGAAAACCCTGCCAAGCAATGTTTGAAAGGGCTGGGTATCTACGCCATTCGCAGAAGCGCACGCACGAATCCAGAGGCCATGAAAAACTTCCGGGATTAATGTTTTAAAGCGTCAACGAACCGAAAGCGATAAATAAACGGAGTGCATACATCATCGAGTGCCGACGGTGATGTCATGGACACACCAGAGGAGCACGAGCGCTTAAACTGCAGTTCACATGGCCATGCTCGCTGGCCGGCGGCTTAGCTAACACACGCGCTCACATATCTCGCACGCAAACACAAGCACTCTCTCTCCCCGTGCGCGCACACGCGCGCACACACGCGCAGATTTCTAAAGCATGGGCCGACAAACTACTGTTTACAAAAATGTCACTTTGGACACGCGAAATATTTTTTCACACGCTCTTATTGCCGCTTCAGATAATGACGAGACTCCTCAGACCGCCAATTGCCCTCGGCATTCCTGGAAACAAATAAGCGTTTCGTACCAGCCACCTCATAGCGTTTATGAATGCATAGGGATGTCCATTATTATATACATTTTGTTGAATACCGTACACTCTGAATTTATAAGATTCCTGCAGTAAAAATAAATATTCTGTTTCTAGAAGAAGGTGAAGGTGCGGCAATGCAATTGTTTGCTCCAGCAATTGCGAGTGGAGGGACTTGGCAAGAATAGGCTGTAGAGAGACGCTCCATGGGATGTTGTTTGGCCTACTCTTCCACGCCGGAAGAGGTGACCTGCAAATTGACTGTTGTTGTACCATATTTGAGTTGCTGGGTGCACAGAGGTGGGCAGATGAAATAACTTTGCTCGATAGTTTAATCCGCCATGCCAGGCAACAGCATGGAGCCATAATAGAGGGTTTTGTTTGGTTAGATGGCATAAATACAAATGTGTCGTTAAACCCGCCACCACCCGACAATTAGTGAGGTTTGTCACGTAAACAAAACGTGCCAATTCGTTACGAGTTCAACAAACCGGTTGTGTTGGAGATGAAACCCACAACATTTACAATTCGAGTAACCATGACGTTACGCCGGTAATTACAACCAGCCTCATCAGGCGACAGGGCAGCATGAAACTGGCGGACTTTTGATTGCAAATCCAGCCCGCTAACCGTTACCCTCACAATGCTACAAAACCCCCTTTCTCCCCACCCCCACAACACTCCTCGATTTCCTCCGGCGTCTCGGATAATTATCCGAGCTGCGCGTCCGCAGAGGCGCAACTGCAAGCGTCAACGACGGCGGTGACCGCCTTTCGTTTTGGGCTCTGACCGGAAGCCGACGATGGGGCACTCCTTGCAGATGTTGCACTTGGCCTGGTGCTTCGCAGTCTCGGAGGCGGCGACGCGGTGCAGCACGGGCAGCCACACCAGGGACTGCGGCTCCAGTTTCATCCACTCGAGGAAGCGGCCCACCTCCACCATATCCCGGCTGTTCGCCTACACGGCACGGACGAGGGTGATGGCACAGTGTGATTGGCGTGGGCCCTGGTGCAAATACATACTTTGGAACACTGTCCACTTTCCAACCTCTGTTAAAACTTTTTTTTATTTCACCAGGTAAGGCTCACCGAAGCGACCTGGCCACAAATCATAGCTCAACGAAGTGGCTTATCACGTAGCAGGCGGGGTTCGTCCACTAGGGGCGCTGTCCCACCAAGCAGCTGGAGATGAGAAGTTATTTTTTCTAATAAAAATGCTTTCCTATAAATGTTTTGTCGTGTTTAAAAAAAAAAAGCAATGATTCTTGCAACGCGAATTGCCTAATGATGATGACATTTTAAGTTGTTCATATTAGACACCGGCTGCAACGCCGCAGTCTGATTTGTGCCTAGGGGAGGTCTCGGGGCGGCTGTGAAGGCGTCCTCCGAGTGAGAGATTTCCCCTTCGTTCGTTGCGATGAGCTTCTAGCGTTGTAGCCACGCCGTTTGAGACCCATTCAAAGGCGGGGGAAAAGACGCTCGTGGCTGTAATGAGACGAGGTTACGACGCGAGGTTGCACCGTGCTAATATAGCAGCTCACACGGCTTTTGGCAGTGTCAAGGGGGTTGTGTAGTGTGGACTTGAGGGTCATGGGGACAGCATTTGAGTGCTTTGTTGATTTGTTTCGTACTGTTTATGAATGCCTACCGCTGGTAGACAAGACAGTAAGATCACTTTCACGGGAAGGCCAATATAACACGACGAGGTTGTTCTTAATTAGAACACCACATTTTCAGAGGTCACTCACAACAGCCCCACCCTAGTGGAGATGTCACGAGCCGCCACTGTCACGTAGATTTTTTAAAAACGTGTATATATATAAGCCAAATACTAAATGCACGATTCTAAAAGTGGAGGGAAAAACCGGAGGACTCAGAGAAAAATCCACGCGACCAGGTTGAGAGAGACACGCAAAATCCAAATATCTAGGCGTCAGGGTCGATATTGAAACCCCCGACCTCCTGTATACCAGGTGAGGTAGTTAACATCTTGTCATCGTGGGCACCACGGTGGCAAGATTATCTTCATCTTTATCCGTGGCGAGGTCATCCTCATAGCACCGGTGACTGGGTCACTCTGGCCCGTGGTCCTCAGTGAAGTTAATTGTCGTCGTCATCATCATCACGTAACGATTTATTTCAGGATGGTGAGAGCTGATGAAGATGTGGTGCTCATGGATAACTAGAAGGAGAGATGAGAACAAGAACAAGGACTGGATGGTTGAAATGGCGAGAGATGACTGGTGTGGTGTGCGATAAGAGGGTTCCCCCCCCAGTTTGGTTGAAGGGAAAAGTGTGTCGTGTGTAGTTTAGTGTATAATGTAGTGTATAGTGCAGTCTATAGTACAAGACGGTTGTGAGGCCGGTGCTGTTGTACGGGGCCGAGTGCTGGGATACAAGAAAGAGGGAGGGACCAAGCTATGGCAGTCACAGAGATGAGGATGTTGCGGTGGATGTTGGGTTCAACAAGGAAGGACAGGGTGAGAAATTAAGAAGTGAGAGGAATCCTCAAGGTGGTAGAAATCACGGAGAAGATGAGAGAGAGAAAAGGATGTGGGTGTGGTTCGGTCATGTGGAGAGACAACAGGAAAATGACGTGGGTCAGAAGGTGCAAGTGATGCAAGTGGAAGGAAAGAGATCAAGAGGAAGGTAGAGGAAGAGAGGTGGGGCGATGTGGTGCAATTGGTGGCACGAGGAGCGGAAAGAGAGATGGCACAGGACAGGGCTGCGTGGAGAAGGTTGGCAAGGACAGCGGACCCCACATGAGCGAAACAAACGAGTGGAAGGAGGAGGTGAGAGATGATGACGGATTGTGGAGGTCTTCAACCAGCAGTGGATTGATAACGGCCCATGATGATTCGTACTGTGCCTCTGATGCAAAACATCTCAAGTCACCGTAACAAGAGAGCTACTCGGCGAGGAAGTGATTGCACGGCGAATTCAACGTGGAAAAATGAATACAAAACTGAAAAGCTCAAGTGTGCTTGAGACACCGTTCAGGGTAGCAGCTGTCGCATGTGCGCCGCCTGTCCACTCAATAGCTCTGCCACTGGATTGGGTCAAAGTCTGTCCATTCAATCATTTACTCATTTGCTCATTCATTAAAGGGTTGAAGGTTATTAATCATTGTCCCTAAAAAAAAAAATCCCGAGTTGTCTCAGGAGGTCGATGCCCACGAAGAGTCGTGCAACAATTAATTGCTTAAAAATCGATTACCATACTCACGATATACTCATCGAATTAATTGTGCGCGTACAAATCAAGTACCGTACAACGATTATTTAAGCAAATTAAATCATATGCAGATATTGGGATAAAACTAATCACCGAGTTCAAACCGCTTTCTCGTGTGCAGCGAGTTAACGCTCCCAGCGTAGACATTGGGATATAACTAATCACCAACATTTAACAGGGACTGTCTTGTGCAGTGAGTTAAGGCTCCCACCGTAGTCACCAAATGACTGCGCAAACGGGGCAAGCCATCGCATAAACAATTGTTTTACTTCTCGTAATTTGGCGGCCCCCTTTACATTAACTCTGGCAGCCTTAATCTGATGACGCTGCATTGGAAAACGTAATTTGAAAACAGCGTGAAACGGAGCGCACTAACAGTAGGGGGTTAGGAATGGATGACTCTACCAAGTGTCCTGATAATGGGATTAGCATTTAATTGGTGGCAAAATACCAAAGCATAACAAAACAATGAGGAATAAAAAAACGAGTACGCATAAGTTTTGTAATGTTTTCTTACATTACTTTATGCTTGTAAGATACATTTTGTTTGATGAATACAAATTCCCAGCTATGAAAAATGGAATCACTGAAGTCTGTGAGCCGCATGGCCAGGATTGGGCAAGGTCACAGCTCCACTACCACTGTTCACCCACGCAACTGGAGAGACTTACCACTCGATTAAGAAACAACTACATCTATTCAAGAATGACAAATATGCCATGAAAAGAAGAATTTAAGATTTTTTTCATGAAGGGGAGCGCTAAAAAATGGAGCAATCGCTGTGATGTGCACAAATCTCTGAATGTTCTTGAAAAGTTTCGGGTAACCCTTTGTCCACTTCTCCCAACGCCATAATCATTTTCACTTAGAATTGGATCATCTTCACAAGGGTTACCGTGACCCGCTCTTGCAGGCAGATGGACGGAGGTTAACGCATTAACGCTTTCGAACTTCGACGGAAAGTGTTAAAAAAAAACGTAGGAAAACTTCTGTTCACCGGTCCCTTGGCTCATTTATCAATCGTTGACCCTACCCACCAGGCCCTGTCTGTACGGGTTGCCTGGCGGACGGAAGAAGCCAAGGGAATGGCCCTGGGGCCCTCGTGGCTGAGGCAGATGGACAGCTGCTGTCGAGAGCTCGAAATGGGAAAGGGGATCTCTGGCTTAGGGGCACTCTGCCACGAGAGACACTTTGGTGTGACGTCGGTGGGTGTGTGGGGATCGGTGGAGCAGCGGTTGTTGTGCTGCGGCTACGAATCCGGCGACTCGAGTTCGTATTCCCGCTCACGGCCACTGACTGCGGTGACGATTATCTGAACGGGTCTTGGGGCCTCCCCTAGGTCGATTCAGCCTCAAACGAGTACCTGGTGCGGTGTGTGAACATCGCCACTGGGGAGACAAAGGCGGCCGGGCGCAGTGTTGGCCACCCACCCCCTCTCGTGTGCCGTGCCGGCCTTCATAGGTGCTCGCTAATGTCTATTAAGGCTGTAAGGGAGATCATTGTCTTTGTCACGCTGCCAGTTATCTCAGTCGGTTAACCCTGATGAAGCAACGTCACTGGCTTGTCACCGTTACATTTGTATCTGCTGTCGAGGTCTAACGTTTAGCATACCTGGGGGGACTCAGATTGCAGAGGTCGCCGATTAAATAAGATGCCCCCCCCCCCACCCCCCAGGAGAAGCAGTTGAAGTGATGGCGAAAGTTTCTTGAATCTTCTTGGCCTCCGACCGCCCAGCAGTGTAGATGGGTAACACCGTTGGGTTAGTGGATCGGCAGGTCCGGGTGCTGTGGGGGTCAAGTGTGGGCCCTCTCACCTCGTCGAAAGATGCCTTGCCTGCACGCAAGTGTAAGTTAAACACCCTCGAGAGGGGCTCTCCAGAGCTCCCCCCTCGTGGAGTCCCTGTTGCCGGCGGCGGCGGCGGCGTGAACAGGCAGGACTGCGCCTTAACATTTATTTACCCTTTCATGAATGGTCGATCGGTTTAAGGGCACTGCTGTTGACGCGCGAAAGTGGTGGTGGTCTCGGTGGGACGTACGAACTTGAAGCAGCTGCGCACGCTCGGCTCGATGTTGCTGCCCCCGAAGGAGGCCACCTCCCCGAGTTGCCGGGGAATCTGAATGGCCTCGTGCAGCAGCAGGCCCAGCTGCCTCTGGTCACAGCCGCCCCCGCCCGGGCCCGACACCTGCCGGAACAGGTCTGCACCAACAGCGACGATGGCCTCCGGTTAGCACGGTTGGCGATGTACGGTGCGAAAGAAGTTCAACGTACGTACAACAAACGAACAACAACAACTGAGGTTATGTAGGGTTCTTTGGCCTATATTTTAGGGCGAGCCGCAGAATGATGTTAGCTTGTGCCTGGCGGGCAATGTGGCGCCACGTGTCACCCGTGCGGAGTGACATTACGACGTCGTACGACAACGTGACGTAACATCAGAACATGCGCACCCCTTGCCTTGAGATACTGCATCTCCCTCGTGGTCACCTCTCGCTCGCTTATCTCACTCAATCTTTATCTCTGGTCTACAACTCGCTCATCTCTTGTGTACGTCTCTTTCATCTCACCCACATGTTTATCGTTATGTTTTGGACGGCCGTAGCATTTGGGGGCTACTCCGAGAGCCTTCGTGCGCTTATCTCCATGTCTTGTTTATCTCTCTGTTATCTCACGAATTTGTATCTCGTGTCTACTGCTATTTTACCTCTCTTGTTCATCTCTCTCTCATCTCACTAATCTATATCTCGTTATGTTTCGGTGGCCCAGAGAGCTTTTGTTGGCTGGCCGTCAGATAAAGAATCCTGTCCGAATGCATGAAAGATGCAAATAATGCCAGACTGAACGGCAGCACAAGTCAGCAGTGGCCACCACCGAGCACAGTTGCTAATGATGCATGTCATGCGTGTGCGTGGTTCCGCCAGGCGCGTTTGTCTGTCGCCACTGGTCGCAGGGTGGCGTGAAGGATTCACGGCACATGACTCCATGGAGCCTGCATCAGAGGCGGTTACAATGATGAAAGCAACACAATTTATAGACTTAGTGCCCTTTTGCCAGACCACCGCTGCATGACGAGGGCCTCCCCGCGCCGTGCGGGTCGTGGGGGTTGTTACGTGACAGTAATTAAGGAGACAGTGCTCAGTGCGGGTTTGTGAAGGCCGGGCGAGCACAGTAGTGGGAAAACAAACGTTTTCTCACCGTGGATTTTGCTGTACCGCAAATCTGCAGCCCACCATGTATCCACACAGCCTGCTGTGCATGGTGGTTACCCCGTCCGAGCACTATGCAGGCCCCACCTTGATTAGTTTCCGAGCTCTGCCGAGCAACACACGGTGGGGCGCCACGGTGGCGAGATGTCGACTCCCTCGCCTGCTATGTCGTGGGTTCGATCCTGACCCTGACGCCTGTACATTTGGAGTTTGCATGTCTCTCTCCCCGTGGTCGCGTGGATTTTTCTCCGGGTCCTCCGGTTTTTCCACCTCCACATTTAGAATCGATGTGCGTTTAATCGTGATTGGCTGCTTTAAATTTCCACGCGATAAGCCGCTTTCTTTGAGCTATCACTTGTAGCGAGGGTCGCTTCTGAAAAATAGCCATATAGCTCAGTGGGCCTTACCTTGTAAGATAAAAAACGTAGAGAGATATATACTGACTGTAACAGCAGTGAGAGGAGGCCAAAGCCAAGACTTGGGTGCCTTGCAACTCACATTTATACTTCTCTTCCAGCGGGGCCTTGGACAGGCAGATGAGCCCCACTTTAAGAGAAAGGGATCGGATTTTCCCCGTGCGGCTCCTGCAAACAAAATCAGGGGAAACATTTAATGAAAAATTGACCCATCACAGCTGGCGGTACGGAACGTAGATAACATTAAGCTGTCTCGCGGTTAAAGAGTAAAAACGAAATAATGACCCAATTGATTTTTATTGTTTGGGGAGTTTTTTTTTTTTCCCCGGTGTTTTGATTTAGTTGGAGGGATTAGGCATTATTATCTCGGACAGAACAGGTGCGGTATATATTAGCCCATCATCGTTTTTATCACGAGACCAAACGCAGCGCTCAGACGTATAATCGGTGACTTGGTCTTCCCCATCCCCCCCCATGATCCACCAGCACCCTACTGCCCAGCTTCGAGAACCACAGCTGCTAACGTCAGGCACGGCACACGAGAAGACGATGACAGTGTTTGCTTGTTTCCGAACAGCTTGAATGCAAACTGTTTCAAATCACGTCTGATCATCCCAGCAGCAATAACCTTCCCAAAAAGACAATCTTCATTCGCGCAACTGAACAAAAAAAAAACCCATGGGACCTTTTTGCCAGCAGGGGCGGAGCCAGGGTAGACAATTGTCACCTCCGAAAAAAAATCGAAAATCTGACACATTCTGCGTATAAGTGTACGACACTCGGTCTGGCGGACTCCGTGCAACTGCATTGTCAGAGCGTGTCGCCAACCGATGGCGTCTGGTTCAACAGCCTGACTCTCTAATCATTCTTGAAATTAACATTTGTTGAATGTCACCCCGGCCTGAAATCCTGGCTCCGCCCCTGTTTGCCAGTATCAAAGTATGAAAAATAAGAATAGGTTTAACCCTTTATGGCAATAAAATAGGTGTTAAGATGTTCTTTTTGCAAGGAATCAAGTCTGCATTAACCGCACGTACTAGTGGTGTGTACTGTTCGCCTTTTGGCATTCTCTGGTCTGACATTGGTGAGACTAGGCCATAAAGAACGCTGTCTCTGGTGTAGGCCAAGCAGCTTCCAAGACAATGCCATATATTATTATCGGCGTTTGTTTGCATGTTCACCACAAGTGCGTGTGATTAATGCAGACTTGATTCCTTGCATAAGGTTTTTATTTGGTGTTCGAACATCTTAACACAACCGTTTTATTGCCGGACAGGGTAAAGCCTAATCCTATTTTTGATACTGAACCAAAAAAAAACAACCCCTTCCGATCGTCCCGGCCGGCAAAACAGCGAGATGGATCTCCTCTGAACGGATGACCAACGGCCGGCTCGCAGTGGGAGAGGGGGGGGGTCCTCTTAACGAACGGCCGCTCATTGGCCAAGTTGTTCAACAATGAATGACTTTCCCACTGGTCCAGCGGCTGCATAATGGATTGCCGCTAAGCGATACACAAAAGTTCTCCTAATGCGCAGCTGTTAATCGACCGACAGGCCGTCTAACAAACGACCGGCTTCAGTGGCCCGGGAGCAGCCCAACCCGTGCTCTCTGCAGTTGGCCTAGCGTGGTTTGGCATGGGCACTGGTTAAATTTTTTTTGAAAAAAAAAGGTGAAGCTGCAACCATGTAATTGCTTTGCTCACGTCACTGCTGGTGGAAGAGTCTCCACTATATATGGATGCTCTAGAGCGCCCTGTCTACAGGGTATTCTTTGGCCTACTCTTCCACTCTTCCACACTGGCCAGGCGTTTTGGAAGAGGTGGGAGTACCCACACTTTACCCCACCACACACGCGAACTGCCAATCGACTCACCGTGGTGTTCCCAATTGTACTGCTTTGGTGGACAGAGGGGGTTTAACAAACCTAGCCCATTGTTTTATCTACCACGCTGGGAGGTCGAACTGCAGATCTCTGGATTTCGGGTCTAGCCTGCTAACCACTACACACTACACGGTAGCTTCAGGGCCCTGGTATAAGGAATGACATTTCCCCCTCCTCCGTCTAATTTGCCTCCTCCCCCACCCTCCAATCGTTCTCTCCATAGCCCAATTCCTGGGCTCCTCCCCCGCCCCACCGCCCTCCCCTTCGGCGACACAGGCTTCGGTGCAATTGTACCGGGGGGGGGGGGGGGGGGTCCCGCACGCACGACAAGCTGCACGAAGTGGACCGTGCGAGGGCTCACGGGTCGTAGACGTTGAGGAGCCAGTTGAGGGCCATGTCGGTGCAGAGCGGCGCAGCGACGAGGCGCTGGCCCTGCCCGCTCTCCAGGCCGCCGTACAGCTCGGCGAGCAGGCGGCCCACCTCGGTGGCGCCCACCAGCCGCTCGTGGGGGCCTCCCCTCCCGCCGGGGCCCTTGCCAGCGCTCCCTCCGAGGCCCGGGGTGCGGGGGTCGGGGCCGCATTGCTCAAGCTGCGTCGTCAGCGCCCCCAGGCTCACCAAGTCCACTGGGAGTTGGGGGGGGGGGGGACAGGCAGACCACACCGTCGCTACGTACGTCGATCAACGGATTCCCTTCGTTGCACGCGTGCGTCGAGCCCCTGTTGTCAGTCCTCTGCTGGATGAGGAGGGCCTCCTTAAGTCGTGTTGGTCGTGGGGGTTATTTGGGCCATGCTTCACTCTGCTGGTCAGTGTGGATTTCTGAGGGCGGGGAGCATAGAAAGTTCCCTACATCAATAAATGTTGCTGCACTTGTCCTCTGATGTTCTCCGTGTAGCCCCGTAGCCGCCTAAAGCACCCTGTTGTGCATGGAGGTCGCCCATCCAAGCACTATCCAGGCTCAAACCTGCTTAGCTTATTTTGGATAAAGGCTTAATATAGTCATAACTTCACTGCAGCATTTACCAAAATACTTACTCGATTACGAATATATCTCTTCAAAGCCTACACAATCCATTACAATTCATCATGGTGGATTGTGGGTGATAAACAATTACGCTAAATATATTTCACCATGTAAAACAAAACAACATTTTTGGCCATCAGCTTTGGAGATTAATCTGTGCAAAGATGCGATTATGTATCTTGGTTATGTGCTTTCACATTCAAACTAACGTGATACACACAGCCATTCATCCTGCTTTTCACCTCATGCTCTGCTCATCGTGACAATCTAAACCCATCGGGATGGTGGACATTTCAGGCTGATGACGACTACAAAATCTCCTTGCTGTTGTCGTCTAAAACGTTTAACGTGTAAAATAAACAATCGATGTGGCCCAATTTACATTAAAATTCCCAGCTGCCCTAACCTGTATTAATTTAGCATTGTCATTCCAAACCATTGCGATGGTCAATGTTTACTGGGAAATTGTTGACGATGTGTGTGCATATGTGCGTGTGTGTGTGCGTATGTGTGTGTCCGTATGTGTGTGTGTGCGTGTGTGTGTGCGTTTGTGTGCGTTTGTGTGCGTGTGTGTGTGCGTATGTGTGTGTGTGGTACGTACGACAGAGGGCTTTCTGTAGACGCCTCAGCTTCATTGCCGTCCGGTAAGCAGAAAACCGCACGCTGTTCAGGTCCGCTATGGACAATGAGAAACGGCGTGTGTGAAGCGGCTAAGAGGTCAGAGCGCTGAGCTGACACTGATTAAATATCGAAATCAAATCCAGGCAGCTGCCGGCCATTAAACTACGCTCCCAACTGTAGCGAGTTTATAGTCTCAGCTAACGTTTAAAAAAAATAAAGAAATAAATGCAAACACGGTTTGAAAAATAAATAAACACACAAACCGCCACTTCTTTCAAATGTTTCTTGCCGTTGGTTTTCACACCTGATGTTGACCGTTTGTGTTATGGTCGAAACGTCGTGAGAATTTTTATTGTTTTATATATACTTTATTATTTTATTGTTTCCCTTCAACGTGACTTTACCGAAAGAACTAAGAATATATAGTCACCAATGGTTGCACAAAAATCCCAATCACGTTAAATTCGGTTCCGTACCGGTAATTTGGGTAAATTCCAGTTCTGAGAATAAAAATTTCATACCGGTTTGACTGCTTTGTCAAAAGCAATTGCTCTCGGGTGGCAGAGCTGGTGAGATAGTGCTGCCCCTTAACTGTGTGGACCAGAGGTCACTTGAAGGTAGCCCCTGTGATATCGGCCGTTTGTTTTGTCGGGCGACGAGCATTCCTCTCGGTGGCTGGGCTGTGAGAGAACCGAACGGACTCACCGTCTCGTGGAAACGATGCCGAGAGTACACAATTGGGAGATAATGAAGACAAATAACTTCAAAAAAGAACATCGTCACAACTGGGCTCCGAGCATTGGGTGTGAATTCCTGATGAGTGGAATGTAGCCGTCTAAGAAACTTCCACACACACACTTGCCAAATATCTGCCAAATTGTAGGTCACCGCAATTATCCGAGCGCGAGTTTTCATGAATACGCAATGAGAGGTTTCTTGATCGTGTTCATCCATTACACAGACGAGTAATTAATCTGCCTGCAAACTGTCAGCATTTGAAGATGGGACACATTAATGAGAGGCCATTCTTAGTAACACACGAATCACAGGCAAATTAACCTTAATTTCACACAACGGGAAAAATGTAACTAAATAATATTAGAACTATTGAATTTTAAACGTAATGGCTCAGCCTCTGACAGCAGGCAATACTATTACTCACTACAAATAAATTATTTATGAAAATAAACACTTTCAGAATATCTTGGGACGTTTTTTTTTTCCGTTTCTCCGCAGCCTCCGAAGAGAAGCCAAGGCGAGGACGGACGACGTCAAGGGCTTGCCGATCAAGGTGCTGCGCTCAGGGTCACATGGAGCGGAAGCTCGTACATAAGCCAGTGCCCAGATTCTCACCTGGCTCCTTTCTCAGCTCAATGGCCACACGTGGTTGTACGAGTCCTTCACGGGCTTGCAGCGATACAGCATCCGTGATTTTATTAATTGCCATGAATCACGATGACAATTTTGATCCGTGCGATGTCTGCCCCTAAATATATGAAGCTCATTATTTTTCACTTGTTTCTCCGCGGACGTACGTGCCATGCGCGTCAGCGTTAACACTTTGCCCAGTACTGTGATCGTCACCTTGCTCTTCCGCTTGCAACTAATTTCCATTCCATATGACGTTGCCAAAGCTCTGTCTGGTCTACAGGTTGGGTCGGACAGCTCTTCTTCTGAGCCGGAAATCAGATCAGTGCCATCTGCAAACCTAAGGTTGAAGAGATGTTTCTTCTTCCAAACGATACCGAACTGTCAAGGGGTCCAAGGGGATCTGGCATGATTTGTTCGAAATGCAAGTTGAATAAGCCCGAGCGATGCAGGACAACCTTGTCCCGTACCAGCTGTGATACAAAGAGCCACTGTCTAATAGTGTTGTCCACCTGAAATGCATTATATGCATTACTGTAATGGTTGCATGCCAAATTAAATGTACTGTCAGTGTTCATTACACTAATGGGCCATTGAGTGCAACGGGACATTATTCCATGAGATTGAGGGCAGAGTGTCTTGTTATTTAAAGCAATAATAATTATAATAATGCTCTCCTACTGATTCAGAAAACCCTCAAGTGAGCTTCAAGACTTATTTCGGGAGAGTCCGTCTACATTGGTATGTGTGGCCAATTCCGTTAATGGAGTGTTTGACACGTGGTCGGAAACCGGAGTGCTTGGAGAAAACCCAAGCATAGGAATGGATAGCGCTCAAGGATCCGCCCCAAACGGATTCAAGGATCCACTTGCTCCACTGCTGCACCCTTACCAATTTGTTTTGATCAAACAACCCTTGGCCATTGAAGAACTGGTGGCCACCATGGGATATACTTGTCACCGAACCTTACAATTACCAAAGATAAAAGGGGGCGCAAACAAAAGATATATATATTTTAAATTAAACAAGTTAAGAAATATCACTCATACGTACGCATGGATTATGCAGTGCTTTCTAACATGCACTTGTGTTCAAGAGTAATTAGCTGTACGGAAGTCGACAGGTAGCTGTCTGGATAGACACGAGTTTGCATTTCGCAAACAGTCCTTTTCCCTCCGGTTTTTGTCTGCAAGTTTTTGCCAAACAACCATTTTAGCCGATTCCCTCAGTAGGTTAAATCGCTAAATAGTAAGACATCACCGCAGGCTAAGTCATACTGGATCACCTTTACAACAGTTGTAGTGGAAAGACAGACGGACGAAAAGTTACTGGATAAACTGTTTCAACATTGAGTTAGAAAAGTTAAAAAAGTATACAAAATGGGAGAAACTACACCCTCTCGTTATACGGGAAGCAACAGCAGGAGAAAACTTAACTTTTTTTTTTACCAGGTAAGGCCCACTTGAGCTATATAGCTCTTTATCAGAAGCGACCTGGCCACAACAAATAGTGGCACAATCAAAGTGGCTTATCATGTGGAAATTTATAGCAGCCAAATACTCTAAATGCACCATTTATACATGTGGAGGGGGAAACACGGAGGACCCGGAGAAGAATCCACGTGAACACGGGGAGAACGTGCAAACGCCAAATACACAGGCGTCAGGTTCGGGTTTGAACCCGCAACCTCCTGTATACCATGCGAGGTAGTTAACATCTCGCCACCGCAGCAGAAACAGCAGCAGTAATGCCCTAATCCACCCGTGTGACACATGCATGAGTTGCCATGGCGATCTCACCCAGGGACTGGTAGAGTGCGGCCATCTTGGGGTGGTCCCAGCTCGTGCTCTGGGTCTGGTGGCTGCAGGGAAAGGGGGAGAGAGGGAGATCGCAATGAGTCTTCGTGCGAGATGATGACCGCTCAAATGACCTTGACCCGTGGACACGTGAACACCGCACTGCCAAGGTGCCACGAAGTCAAATAATCCACCGCTTGAATGGACGTATTTTGAACGTCTTTCTCACCGTATGTAGCCAACCGTGCTCACCGGAGAAGGCCTCCTCATAATATATCAGTCACGAGGGCTTTTGACCATACTTTACCGTGCCGGTTCGTGTGGGTTGGTGAAAAGGGCGGCCCAGTAGCAGTTCATATATCACTCGCAACTCATGTTAGCCACGGTTGGGAATCAAACTCAGGTGGAGAGATTCAAAGTGCGTCGCGCTAACCAATGCGCCACTGATCCATCCCCCTGAATTCATACTCCCACTAATTCATGAAATCTATTTGTCGTTCTAACTTAACAGTTGTGAAACAAAAGTAGCACAATGACAATAATGATTACTTATTTTTGCCAGGAAAAATACACTTTCAGGAAGGCTCCTGCATTGGCTTTTCATACAAAAAAATGCAACCAATGAGTCTTTTTATTTATACAAATGGGTAGAAATTGGAATTCCCAGAGAAAATCCGCATGCACGCGAGGGCAACACTATCCCCGTACAGTCGGAAATAAACGGAGATCAGTCAACTTGCCGTACCTCCTTCTGCCGGCAAGCCAGGGAATGTCACCTCGACGTGCGCGGGAAGGAAGTTTCACAACATTCGCGTGACCCACCAACCCTTGGCCTCCACTACTGCTTGGGATTTACAACCGGCCGTTTGCGTCACCTGATCCCGTGGGGAGCGGGCAAGAACGCTTAACGCAGACAACCCAACGGCTCGACGACCGCTGCCTCACTGCCATCTGCGAGTCGCAAAGTGATAGTGTTGTGTTTGGACACGGCTAAGAGAGAGAGAGCGTGGGGATTGCAGGCCATTAATAAGTTCATGGCCGTGGCGACTAAGAAGGCGTTGCCATAAATGGTGTTAATGATACGCGGGAAAACCACATGGAGGATGAAAAAATATATACACAAGTAAAAAAAAATGTTAAACGATCAAACAACAACAGAGCTAACGGAATTAGGTTTTACTTTCCTGAGTTGAGCATGTTAAGAGGAAGCGTCGTTCAATGAAAGCAATTGTAAACGCGTTCTTTTTAAGCCACGTCACGGTGTATTTCGACCCCTTGGAAAAGATAGCGCAGGAAGGAAAAACACCTCATGTACTGAAAAGTCTTTGTCTTGTTCCCGAACTTTAGTTTTTGGCGGTCGTACTCGCAAGACTTTTCAAACGCCACCCCAGGAAACACGCAAACGTTCGGCCATCGTCGGCACGTGGTTTGCACCGTTGGCCTCACGTTGACGCAATATTCCCCGCTTACTGAGAAATTTCCCTGGTTCACACATCTGGCAACAGGCAATATTGTAGAACTGTAGGCTCAAAACATTTGACGACAAAAGCCAGTGTTAGCATACGCTGTGTGTCTATGTTGTGTGTCTCTCTCTCTCTGCTTATGTGTGTCTGTCTGTGTGTCCCCGTGTCTGTGTTTTGTCTCTCAAATTTAGCAATCTTTGGAAGGACGTAATCAACCAGGTAAGGTGCTGACTGTTGTGTTAGCCGACTCTGTGTTGGATTGCATTGTATTTCTAAGTTTAATAGGTGTGTTTTCTACCTGATGACGATTGCTTGTCGTATTCTATTATTTAATTTATTTTATTTCTACGTGACTTTACCGAGAGAACCAAAGGAGCTGTACACATATTCTGATTTTAAGGCAGTGTTTGTCAAGAGTGACTGGCAGTAAGGAATTTAACCGACTTTTACAAGAACAGCTTTTTGTATCGTCCTTCACAAAACAAACAGTGCAGAAGACAGTTAAACATCTCTCAGAGTCTGTAAACCTTGCGAGGACAAGCAACTCACTCGAGGCGAGTTGCTGTACGCATGCGGACTATGCATTCTTGGAGTAAAAAAATATATGCCAATAAAAATGTTATGTTTATTTATAATGCATTTAACGCACATTAAATAATGGCAAGATAATTGGTGCAGTGCTGAGTGAAGCTGGCGACCTCAGTTCCATGCCAGGTCACAGTTAATATTTATATCAAGAACATATTGTACATATATAATGGAGAAAGTGGCGTCTCAATAGTTAAAACACGACACGATGAACCAAGTCACCTTAAGTTTGATCCCAGCCACGGCTAACATACAGTGGGGAGTGGTATCAGAAGCGGGATTGGTCTCCGCGCACCTTCGCCAACCTTAAATAACCAGCACGGTGAAATCTGGGTAAACAATGTTTACGACACCGGTTGATGCTGAACTAGTAACTAATTGGCAGGTTTTGTTTACGTGACAAACTTTACCAAAACTGGCCGGGTCGGGTGGTGGCGGGTTTAACGACACATTTCATGCCGACGCGACCTAACCCAACAAAAACCTCTTATGAATCTTTTCGATCTTCCGCCAAGATTGGATTGACGAAAAGCTGTACATTGTATTTGAAAAATGTATAGCATCGCTGTGGTTTGACTTGGTTGGGCTCGATTATAAATGGGAGCAGTCAACGTTAATGAGCCTATTTTTCAAGTGGCGTGGGTGAATGTTTAAAAAAAAACAACAACTCCACATCCACTTTTTCTCATAAAAGATTTAAACCTTTATTTCGAGGAAAGAAAGAGACTATAATTGGATGGGCTATTTATACTCGGTGAGAAGAGAGAAAATTGTGCATGTAATTAGCTGGAGAGAGAGAAAGAAAAAAACTGGCTTTGTAATGAAAATAGAAAAATGTTTTTCAACGTCACCTCTTTGGTGATTTGTGTGCCCGCCTGCGCTGACCTGCCACACTAATGGAGTGGCAGGCACCCTGCCAAGCTCACGACCCAGAAGCGTAAGGTTCAATTCCTAGCAAGGGTGCGCTGAAAGCACGTTGTGTAATTATCCACCCACCACAGTCTCTCTCTGCTTAGTGGAATATCGGTAGGGATGCCACCCATCCTGATTTCCCCAGGATTATTCTCTTTTAGTGGCAGCCGTCCTCCGGAAATCTGTAATTCTTCCCAGTTACGCAACAATACACTGCTCAACACAATGGACATAGTTCTCCCCCTCTTCCCGTACTGAGAGATGTTCCTCTTCCTACGGTGTGTCCTGGTTTTTCGCATCTCAGAAGTCTCAACCCCATAGGTAATTGAAGGTAAAAAGCCATGCACGGCGAAATCTCTTCCAGCCCGTATTCGCCAGCTTATGAGAGCAGTCGAACGATGCCTCTCCAGTGAAGTGGGGCCTGACCCCCGTGTACAGGGCCTATTATTCACCGTGGTGTTTATACCTCAAGTTGCCCTGCTTAACGACGTCGCTTGTATACGGCACTGCTCAGCTTAACCGTGGTAATTTAAATTCGTTTTTTTTTTTTTTAGCTGGGAGTTTAAACTACTTTTCCAAACAGCAAATCGTTTGCCCGTAAGCACCACCGGGGCAGCGTGCAAATGTTAACCGTTGCCGCTCGAGCTAATTTCACTGTGGAGAACCTGCAGAGACTGGCGTGTCCGATTGCTAAAAGGTGCAGGTCTGGAGAGCGCCTTGACCCTGCAGCAGAGTGGTTTTCGCCGAGCTCGCCTGCACGCGGGAGGCCGACGTTTGACGCAAGACGTTACACCGAGGTTTACGAACAAGGGGACAGAGGGGAACGGGGGGGGGGATTGTGTTTTGGCCACCAACGGCCACTTATCCAAACACCGAATTTTCTGGATTATAAGGTGCACCCCCCCAAAAAAACTTTGGTGGGGCATGGAAGAGGACAAAAAAGTGTTTTTTTTAATAAATCGTGAGGGCACGGTACTATGGACCGCAGTCTCCCAAAAATGAGATTCTGAACGGCTGTTATAAAAATTCGTCGCACGGGCAGACAACGTCTTCTCCTGATGTTACAACGCACTCGCCAACCGTCTGTTTAAAATACAGGGCGGAAAAAAAAATGAACGCATCTTGTAGCGCAGAGAATACTGCAGCTCCGAAAGCGGCGGTAACAACTGGAATTTTACAGACACGACGACCGAGGCGGCTGAACACCGCGATTAAATGGGTTTATAGTTTTTTTTTTCTGACGGCAGTAACTTTTCAAAAGGGGGAACAGCGGTGAAGAGAAAAGGCAGGCGCGTCATTGTTATGCTCACAAAGGAGAAATGTCTCGACGGGCTTTTAATCATACGCGACTCCGAGCCAGCGGTGCGGACGATTATTTCAATTCCATATGCAACATGAGCCTTTCATTAGAGCGAATAACAACACCCCACGCGAATGGGTACCATCCACCAATGCCCATGTTGTGACGCCAAAGTAAGATCCAGTCTGGCCAACTCTCCCTGCGCCTCCCCCTTCCTTTGATGTTCACTCAACCCTCCACCCCGCCAGCCCTGGTGTTCAAAACATTTGAGTTCGTTGGAAACTTACAACAACAAAATTTGCTCTTGGTAAAATTCCAATAACATATGTAAATCCTAGTTATTGAGTAAGAGTAATAGCTGATCATGAAATAAATATATGACCAAATAACAAATACAGTAGACTGATAAATAAATATACGAAACGGCGCTTTTGCTTCGTTCTTGGGTCGTTAAGTGAAACATCTGAAAGATAAAAAAAATTGAAAGAGCTGCCAATTGGGGGGGTGGATCGACTCACACTCCCGTGCCACTTTCTGGTGACTTAATTGCATGTGCGTCGAACTTCTTTCGCACCACGCATAGCCAAACTGTGCTCATCGGGGGTGCGGGGGAGGGCCAACAAACTAAACACAAACTGCGGTTCTAAACAGATACGTTTTCCCGTCGAGATTTAATTCATGATCAAAGTTCAAGGTATCAAATTCATTGCGGAATCCATTCCTTTCTTGCCCTTGTACACATGTGGCATGCAAGAGCGTGAGCAGAACACAATGTCGTGCAAGGTAAACGAAATCAGGAACT